TGCCATGCCATACCATGCCATGCCATTCCATACCGTACTATACTATACTATACTATACTATACTATACCATACTATACTATACTATACTGTACTGTACTATACTATACTATACTATACTATACTTTACTATACTAAACTTTACTATACTATATTGTACTGTACGATACTGTAATAGAACATAGTATAGTATATTTTAGTAAAGTGCACTATAGTATCTGATCTGGGTTCTGGACATGTCCTGGGACTGAGAGAGCCTTTCAGCTTCTCTTCGGCTTCAGGTTTTTGAGTGGGATGAAAAGTTTAAGGCAGGGACTGTTCCTGTTGATGCCTGCTGTTTAGGGTTTAAGGTTTGGAGTTTAGGGTTTAGGGTTCTGTATTCAATGTTCCGTAGCACTTGGACCTCGAGGGACATCGGTTGCGATGCTGGACAGGGCTCTCTTGGGAAGATCGTAGCCGGCTTAGGGTTTAGGGTTTAGGGTTTAGGGCTAGGCAAACCATGATTGATCTGTGATTATGTGTTTTACATACCCCCAAGGTTGTGTCGAAATGGTTCAGTCCCAAACCTTTGACGGCAGGCTGAGTGTTGGGAGCAGGAGCGAGACGTTGAGCAAAACTAGGCAAATATTTCGGGATTCGGGGTTAAGGAGGTTATAGGGTTTAGGGTTTGGGATAATATACGGAGATTAGAGGGTTTAGGGTTTGAGGGCCCTAAGCTCTAAACTCTAAACCCCTAGGCTTATAGGAGGCAGCCGACTCGATCCTCGATCCCCCAACCACCACACCTGTACCTGAATTCAACCCCAAAGTCCTACAGCCCTAAACCCAGAATCCTAAACTGAAAGCCCGCATCCATAAACCCTTAGCTCTAAAGTTCCCATTGTGCCAGGAAGCCTTGGATATTTTCAAGTCCAAGACGGGAAACAACAAGGCCACAGCGAACAGCCAGAGATTCCTTTAGGCTTGTGACGTTTCGTCTTCTTGTACTTGGGATGTTACTTGAATCTTCAAGTTAGGGTTCAGAGTTGAGGGTTTAACGGAGACATGGTAAGAGGTGTTTGGGAAGCCGGGGTGTGTGCCTTGCCGGCTTGAGGTTTCCCGTCACAGCACCCTACCTACGGTGAACTTGAAGATCTATCTCTTGGATTACCACCCTACCCTAAACCCTGAACCGTTTAAAACCCTAAACCCTAGTACCCTAAACCCGGAACCCCACATACCCTCCCAACCCTAAACGGTAAACCCTGAACCCTAAGCCCTAAACCCTGAAAAACTGTATCTGACCTCTGAGGTGCCCGACGTGGCCATCCGCACACTGGAGCGTGACATGAGAGGTCCAGCATGCATCTGATTTCAAGCCGAAGACATTCGAAGTTGGGGTGTAGGGTTTAGAGCTTAGGGCTTAGGGTTCAGATAGCAAGCCGAGGATGGTTTAGGGTTCAGGGCTTGGGGTTTACGGGGTGAGATGTTTTGGCCCCCGCACGGAAGGTTACTGCTGCTTTGATCTCCGGTCCTCAAATTTTGCTTGCCTCTGGCCCTCGGCAGGTTTGCAGCTGGTTTTACCCGGCGGTCGTGAAGCTTGACGGCATACAGTTGTTCGACGCACAGTCGAAGTGTTATTTTCGTTTCGGAAGTTGTTTTGCAGTTTCCATTTTACCGCATTTGTGCAGGCACATTCTCTTGACATCAGCAACTACATCGTGATTTTCTCCCATCGATCCGAAAAGAACAGCATAGTGTGCGACAGGAAGAGCACACATGTCAGTGCGATCGATAGAAAGTGGCCGCTTTCGCAACGATATGACACTCGTGAATGTAAGAATAGCCATCATCATCATCATCATCATTATCATCATCATGACCATCATCATCGCCACCACCACCATGTTGTGCTTCAGCTGAACATAGTTTTGCCCGCAACCGGAACAGTACATCAGCAAGTTCTCTATGAGAAGAAGCTGTCAGGATCTCTCGAACGTCGCGTGGGCCACGGCAAACATTGAACGAGTCCTGGGGGCAGTGGAGCGCTACGCGGAAGAGCTACCGGAGGCGCTGCTGGTGATTGTTGGGGGGTTGTGGTGATTGTGGTGCTTGCTGTACATGATGTGGGTGTATCGTTACTTCTGTATGCATGTATGCTCATACATGCTTACACACACATGTATAAATATATGTATATATATATATATATATGTATGGTTATATCCACATACAAGCGCGCTCACATGTATGTATGCCTCTCTCTCTCTATATATATACATAGTTATGCACCTATGCGTGTGTATATGTGTATGTGTATGTATATGTATATGTATAGATATGTGTTTGTATAGGTGTTGTATATGTATATGTATCATATGTTTATGCATATGTATATGCATATGTGTATACGTATAGGTATATGCGTAAGTGTACGTATATGTATGTGTGTATTTGTGTATATTTTCTCTTCGCATATGTATTAGAGGTATATGTATATATGCATATGTATATGTATATGTATATGTATGTATGCGTACATACAGATGCATATGCATATGTATGTGTATGTATATGTATATGCAAATGTACATGTATATGCATATGCTCATGTACATGTATATGTACCCTTTGTTCCGGCATATGGATATGTGTATGTCTATGTCTATTTAGATGTCTATGTCTATGTCGATGTCTACGAAGCAGCACCGAGCTCATCTGCGCAGGTCATTGCTGCAGCAGAGGCGCAGGCTCCGGGTGCTGTGTATTGTTTACCAACGATACGGCCCAGCTAGACATGTCTTTCTTCAGGCTAGGTTATCTACACAAGCGAAGAGATAGCTTCGACGATGCTTCGGAAGCCCACGCCCTCAAACCTCAACTCCATCCGAAGCCCCCGACCCTAATCTCTCCTTTCGTGGTACGAAGCCCAGCCTTGTACTTTTGATTTTGACCGTTGTAGCAATATCATGCGAGCGTGCGGAAAGTCCTGGACGATTTCGATTGCCAGGCGGCGAAACTGAAGTACAATAAATTCAGAGATGAGCATCATGGAGAGTCAGAAACACGCGCAAACAAATATGCCTGCCAGTCTACCCGACTACCTCCCCACCTCCCCACCCACCTCCCCGCCTCCCCACTTCCGTAACCCGTACCTCCTGGCCTCTCTACCTCCTCCGCTCTGCCTCGCTTGGTTTTGTTATGGTTAGAGTTGTGGCCGGCCATGGGTTACGGTTCTCGCGTGTTTGGTGTGGTATGTCCAGTATGTATGTTTGTATATATATATATATATGTATGTATATTGATACATGTATAAATACACACACATACATACATATGCATATGCATATGCATATGCATATGCGTATGTGTGTATGTTATGTTATGTTATGTTATGTTATGTTATGTTATGTTATGTTATGTTATGTTGTGTTGTGTTGTGTTGTGTTGTGTTGTGTTGTGTTGTGTTGTGTTGTGTTGTGTTATGTTATGCTAT